GGGGGGGGAAGGAGGAGAAAATAAAGAAAGGGGGAAGACGGTGAGGAGGAAGCGGGGCAAGAGGTGGAGGCGAACAGGGAGAGGAGAGAATCAGAAAGGGGGGAAGGGGAAGAGGAGGGGGTCACATGAAAAGAAAGGAAGGGAGAAGAAGGAGAAGAAGAAATGGATATGTAACTCTCAGCTGGGGAATTGTGTCAAACACAAGCGCGCATACAGAACATTCCTTTCAGAGGCCGAGTCATAAAAATTAATACGGAAAGTGGAGGAAGTCGGAGACTCGTGTGAACACCGCTTTCAAAAAAGATCACAGGCGCTCAGATGATTGCAGAGGAGGACATGAAAAAAACATTAAGCGCCGCTTGTCAAAATGTGCCTCGCAGCGGTTTTTTTATTAATGCACATACACATACATGCAGTATACAGGGGAGCGAGAGGGGGAGAGAGGGGAGAGAAAGCGGGAGAGAGCTGCAGCCGCTTGCCCCTTACCGGTGGAGTTGGTAGACAGGCTCTTCTTATTGCTTCCGAGCTGGAGTGCAGCGAGGGGTACTTGTGTTCAGGGAGGGTGGGATGCATGGCAAAATGTGGCTGTTTGCTGTTCATGGACATCATCTTGCAGGCTTGGCATGTAAATCCACAAACACTCCTGAAGTAAGGGGAAAAGTGCTCTCCGGGCGCTCTCCTCCTGCTGGGGACGAGGCTGCAGCGGCAGATCCCACTGCTGGTACCGCTGTTCCTTGGAGCTCCCTAGGACCGCACCGTGAGCCTCCCTCCAGCCCTCTCGGTCTCACTTATCTGTCTGCTCTATGCTAGCGCTGGGCTGAGATGCGCTCTGCTTACACCTGAGCCCCACATCTCGTGGCTACGGACCCGCAGTCTCTCGCGAGAGCTTGGCAGCTCCGGCTTTGACAGACATCAGCTGTCTCCCTCGGCCGCCGCCTCCTCCTTCCCCCCTCCCACGCGCGCCCTCCCTTCGCCTTGTTGCATCTCCTTGCGCGCTTGCACGTCTAGCCGGTGCCGGAGTTTGAGAGCTGCTCTTATAATGACCAGCAGAAAGGACAGTGCAGGTGCTACACCTGTAGCTGCAACACATGCGCATTGCTCGCCTTTCTGATCGGACTCGGAGACACCCACCTGCGCGCCTATGTATTCTGTGCATGTATGTGCATCTGCGTGTAATATGTGTACATGCATAGCTCATCTGTACAGTGCCGTGTGTATGGCTAGGTGGATCTCTCTGAGTTTGTGGATGCTTGGTGCTGGTACCTGATTTTGTACTTGGCTTATCCATGATGCCTAACTACATATAGTTATCACTTTTGCAAATAATCACTGGAGTCGAAAGAGCGAAAGAGATGTTAATTTCCTGTGCTCCCGTGCAGTCCGTCAGAGAGATGTGTGTGTCTCTGTCTCCAGGACTCTGAACACCGAAAGTGACAGTTTTCCAGCGTAAGCCCGTTACTTTTAAGAATTCTAAATAGGCTCCTTGAGAATAATCATTGTGACAGACATTAGTTCGAAGCAGTCAGGGTCTATTGATTTCCATATCATTTAATTTCCCTCATCTAGTTTTGTTGCAAATATTATTGTGTGAGGCACCGCAAGTGACAGCCACTTAGCCCCCACAAGGAGCATGTGCTTCTACCTGGGAAACACTGTTGAAATGAAAATGTGCTTTTCCCCCCCAGCCTGTAAAATCCCTCTTCTTTAATCGTGTGAAAACCCACGTTTCACTCCGGCATGGCTTGAAGCATAAAATAATCACAAAGCCTTTTTATTTCTTTTAAACAACCTGTAGTTGGGTTCCTTTAACCAAGAAAGAACACAGGGAAACTAGTCGGAATCGCCTTCATAGACGTTACTGCAGAAAAGAAAAGGAGGAAAAGGCTGGAAAATAATATTGTTGCAATTCTTTTTTTATGTCTTGTGTTTCTCTCCAGTTTTGTCCGTTGCATTTCAATGAAAAGGTTAGGAAGAAATAATGGAGTAATGATACACAAATATATTGATGACTAACATTTTGGGTTATGGCCCGATCTTTTTTTTTTAATAGTGGAATTCTCAAATTAACTATATGTCGTTAAAAGTGGGGCAGCAAAATCTTTTAATTAACCAACCTGTAAATTTGTCTCTCGCGTTTCTCATCAACAACTGGGATTGATTTGATTCCGCAGGGAAGAATACAGGTGAAGTCAGTCCACTGGGGCACTCTAATGATAACCCTAGGTTATAGCCCAGATGTTTTCACGTCTGCTGCAGGAGTGCTCAAGACAGACACCAGGAAAAAGCAGTCGGGCATTTGTTTGATGCAGTGATCTGATAACCGATCTGCCATGTGTCAGCCTTAAAGAGTGTTGCAATAGCTATGTCTCTCATGCACTGAGCATCGCCTACGTACGTATATACATATCCATGTACCATGCATAGGCATACACCCGCTCTTCACATACGTACAAAGTACATATTAAAAAGCTCAGGTAAAGTCCACATTTATCATCATTTGGCTTTCTCCAGTTTCTCATTCAGCTCGAGAAGAGAGAAAGAATGATGTTCAATTACTAGTGCGCGAGGGAGCTGGTCTCCATCCATTATTGTGTCTCCAGGGACTGCTGAATGCAACTTTATCTAGGAGGGGGATGAACTAGAAACTGACACATTCTGGTTTTAAGGGTGGAGGTGGGGGGCGGGGCGGGTATCGAAATCATTGTGTAAGAGGAACAAAACAATAACTAACATGCTTTTATTAACAATTCATGATTTACCCAGCTTTTTGAGCTGCCATGTTTTGTAAATTGAGGCTCAGCAAATAGGGAAATGGTGTATTTGATACTTTGTTTTGAAGTGAGACGCTTGTGGAAAACGCCTGGTAGACCCTGATGCAAAGCAACCCACATTCCTTTGCTAATAGAATATATATAACGGCAAACCCATCAGGCCAGACAAAAACAATGGGCTTTTCACCTGACACTGGAGACGGAGATACTCAGAGGTAGACAAATGTATCTCGTTAGCCAGAACTCTGGCCAAGTAAACATACCAGTGTACACAGTAGAGGGAATGCTCAGGGTAAATGAAGGTTGTTCAAGTGATGATAAAAGCACGAGAAAATGAAATGTTTTGTCTATTGATTATTCCATGATCTGACTCCCTCACCCCCAAGCCATGTGATATGTTCTACAGATAGCTCACTAGTGACAAACATAGAGCCAGCCATGTTTGACACACACGTGTTTAGAAGTTTGAGTTCTTATACTCAGCCACTACTGTGGCTTTTCTAAAGGGCGTGTGGACAAAAGAAGAGAACCTGTGAGTCGAGGAAGGTGGTGGCGGCGGTTAGGAACTGGCATACCAGGAGAGAGCCACTAGAAATAATAAAATCTGTACCTGAGCCAGAGCCAAGACTCTCTTCTTTCTGTTTACTCTTCGGCTACACATTTCCAGACTGCTCATCACACTGCGGATCCTGGGCTCCTTGACAGTAAATTCTTAACTTCTTAGCTCTGCAACAGACTTCTGTGATCTTTCGACCTTTAGTCAAAAGACCTTTAAGTGTCATTAATAAAACCTTCGGGCTGGACAGCTGGGAAATACTGATCTAGGGTAGGGACTACACCGGTTCTAGATGATGCTTCCATTGTAGACAGGCCAATTTGAGTTGCCACTAACCAATACGTGTATTAAGTAGAGAATGTAGCCTTGGGCATATCTGCCCTGAGTGAAAAAGCAAACAGAAGACGTTGATTTGGGGCAGCTTTTGTTTTAAGGTGTACCAAGTGGACCATGTTCCTTTTGGTCCATTCATTTCCGTTGACTTTGGGACTCTCAGCCTGTGCCTCTTTCTGCAACTTCATCTCACGCTGGGATTGAGCCCCGAAGGAATATTATGAAAGGGTTTAACGCGAGGACCTGCTGTGGAGCTACTGTTTCTATCACCGCAGGTAACATCTGCTCAAAGTCATTGGCTTGTTTGTGTTCCCGAGGGAACAGGGCAACCTCGCGCAGAAGTTGAAAAAGACAGTGTGTACAATACAACGCCTGCTAGTTTACTGGCCTTTGCAAGCACCATTGGAAGTACACACCTATTCCTTGACTGCAGATGTACCCTCATGCATTGCAGGCTAAGCACAGTTCACCTTTTTATTGCACATAGTCTGGGCCATATGTATTGTGCAAAAATCCCATCCAGTAGGCGAGAGGGAGCGTGTTATGTGCGAAAGCCTCATGCACCAGACAAAAATACAGGACTATGTAGCACTTTAAAGACTCTTTTAAAGAACTGAGTTTTTCTATTTACAAGCATTCAGTTTATTTTCTGCAACAGTCTACCGAAGCTAAGTGGGTGACACTTGCAATCAGATTTATTGGCGCATAAGCTTTCATGGGCAAAGACCCACTTTGTCACAGGCATCTGACCAAGTGGGTCTTAGCCCACGAAAGCTTATGCTCCAATAAATCTGTTAGTCTATAAGGTGCCACAGGACTCCTAGTTGTTTATGCACTTTCAGACTAACAGGGCTACCCCTTTAATACTTCTCTCAGGTAGTCAACTTCACCCATTTCAGGTGTCCCCCCCTCACCACTACCACACAGCGCCCCAGTGACCATTCACTCAAGACTGACGGTTCCAGTATCTGTAAAAACCAACTGACTTAGGGCTGATATCCCGGCCCTGCCTGCTAAGGTACCGTGGGTAACATGACTTTGGATAATGTTCTGTGGCCAGATTTTTGTCCTGCCCTCCTTTTATTATACTGGAGCCCTCAGGCATTGGACTTCGCGTCAAAGTTTCATTCTCAAGCAACTCTTTCTGCTCCGATCTCTTCCTCACAGATGGCAAGAGCGGGAGTGGCGGGCACAGACAGGAGAGGACCTTCCCATTGGCTTTAGTCTCCGCAAATATCGGAGCCTCCGTGGCTCGTCAGGTGTACTACTGAAACAAATGGTTGCATGAAAAGATCAAAACAACCCTCATTCGTGGCATCTGGGACACTTTTGTGGAGGGGGGGGGAGAGACCATTTCAAACCACAAGCCCCTTCCAGGCACTCAGAAACTGATGAAAAGAGAAAGCCCATCAGGGGCCCGATCCTGCTTCCTCTGAGATAAATCACGGCACTACTACCGATTCTTTCAATGGGCACAGGATCCAGCCGACTGTGTTGTGCACTTTAGATTTTACGCCCCTCTCTCTGCTGGTTTCTGTGAGCAAATACGTCTGCGTTGAGTTGTTGCTCAGGCCTCAGTGCGCCTCCTTTCTTCGTTTTCTAGCTTCTCTGACAGTCACCAAATGCAGTCCCAAAGCTACACCTGCAAATACACATACCTAGCCTCACACAAAGTCCCTCTCACGTTCGCTTTGCAGGAACTCGGCTCGCAGAGGTATAGGCATCTCACGGGCCTGGTCATATATTTTATTTCATTTTAATATTCTCTATTATTCCTATTCCTAGTGGGTACTTCCATGCTCATGAATACTGATGGCAATAAACCTGCAAGCCCCGAGTTCGTTGGAGAGATGACCATTCTGTAGCGCTTTTATAGCCAAACATACTCGATAAAGGGACGTGTGTGTGTGATAATTTAACTGTCTTCAGTAGTTTTCTCCTGTTACAGTGTAAGAAATAGGCAGATTTCCTTAATTGACTTCGCTGCCTGTCTCGAGAGCTAATAAAGTAAACCCCTTATTCCCACAGTAAAACGATTTATAAATTAATTACTGTAACCCATTGTATTTGATTTCCCTTTTTAGGATTCCCAAAAGATGAATATACTAAAGCTTGGTATATTAAGCTCTAACGTCTCGTCATACTTTGCTTGTACAGTCTGACTTTTTCAAGAACATGTAGGGGGTATAGAGCAGCTTGTATTAATCTCTGATAGAAGTTTTGCTTCGGTAATTCGACTAACCTTTTTATTTGCTATATCTGCCCTGCCCCAACATTTCCCTCCTACTTGGTGGTAGCACGAAAGGAAAGCCTATATTGATAGTTGGTAAAGTGTACTGAAAGTCAATATCCCAGTTAGTATAAAAGCTATTCTCCCTTTAGATGATTAAACTAACCTACCTTAGGAGAAAAAAAAATTCCCCCTATGGGTGAATGCACAAAAAGTATTTCCATGTCCTAATGAGGACTTTCCTTACATCAGCAAAGACCTGCTAATTACTGATGTACACGCTGCAATAATTGCTTTAGCAGCCAAAGTGTAGAATGTTGTTATATTAAAAATTGAAACTCTTGATTGTGAGTCAGGTCCCAAGGCAATTCAGAGCGCTCCCTTTCGGGAGAACAACGGGGGCTGGAGGAGTTACTTCCAGGTCCAGGAGAGAAAACAGCCGCCCTCGCTGTCTCTGGTAAAGTTTCTTGTTACTCTTTTGAAGCGATATAGGTCAATTAAAAACCAATCTGGGAAGGGCCTGCAGCCTGAAGACCCTCCAGATCACATCAGAACCATTTAAGCCCCAGCGGTAGATGTATTGTTGGCTTTGAAGGGGTATATTGCATATCCATTTATCGTACACACTGAGAATTGAACGCTGCTTCATCGCCCTTTGATTACGCTCCCTTACAGCATGCTACAGTGTCTAGCCGTTAGCTGCTGGCTTCCTTACGTAAGCAGCGCCCCAGAGAGAGGGGCTGGTAACGGGGGAGAGGGTCGATCAAAAGTTAAATCGAAAGGAGCTCTGAGATCTGTTCGGTTGTCAAAATCCGGAGCGATGCGCTCGCCTCCCCGTCTCCGCCCGAATCAAAGCACGTTCCGAGGGGCTGGGGAAGAATGTAACACATTGCCCTGATTTATTATAAAATTTTAACGAAATCATGCATATTTTAACAGCCTTTAATCACTGCATGAAAATTTAATTCATGAACTGGAGCGCGTTTAAATAAATGAAGTGTTAATTCATTAGGATTAATTAATTTGTTAAAGGTTTGTGTGCAAGGTTAAGGTGGAAGAAAAACTCTTTGTTAGTTTCCTGTCTTAATCACCAGGTTTTGTTGGGAGAGGGGGGGTGGTTTCTGTGCTGCTTGCTCATAAGGCTGGGAAAGGTTGGGGACCCAGGGTGGAAGAACTGAGGTGTTACTAGGTCAGTGAAAGCACCACAACAAGGGAAGTTTACTGCAAACACCAGGGGTGAAGAGTAACTTTCAGTCCATATCTAGACATCCCAGGCCTATAAGGTGTAGCTAATTGAGCTGGCTTTAGTGACATTGCTGATTGGGGATGGGGGACACAGAAATTCCTTCCTATTTGTGTGAGTGCAGATGAAAGTAGAATTCACTCCAGACTTGTCCAGGACTACACCCAGACCAGCTGTGTATGGGTGAGAGACTAGACTAAAGCAGAAAGATTCAACCTCTCCTACAAATGGATATTTTTTTATTTTGAAATAATGTCCAGAGGGAGGATGTCTACACAGCAGCATTATTTTTGAATAACTGAAGTTATTCCCAAGTAAAGAGTGCATTTACACTACAAGCCTTGATTTTGAAATAATGTCCAGAGGGAGGATTTTTTTACTCTGACAGTAATCCTACTTTCACAAGGAGTAAGAGAAGTCAAAGGAAGAGTGTTCTTGCTTGACTTCTTGCAGTGTAGACAGCATCAAAACCCAAATTAAGCTATTTTGATTTCAGCTATGCAATTGAGGTAGCTAACGTTGCATCACTTAATTTGACTTTTTAACTTTATAACTGCAGAATAAAGTTAAATTAAGATTTGCTATTTCAGCCACGTTAATTGTGTAGCTGAAATCAAAGTAGCTTAATTCAGCTTTTGGCGCTGTCTGCACTGCAGGAAGTCAAAGCAAGAACACTCTGCCTTTGACTTCCCTTACTCCTTGTGAAAGCAGGGTTACTGACATCAACTGGAGTGCAACTCTCACTTCGAATTAGCAGTCTTAACTCGACCCCTAATTCGAACCCTGGAAGGTTGACAGCAGCAGCAGTGTAGACGTATTCAAGAGACCCTGTTAAAGTAGCAAATACCAGAATCCTGAAAATAATTCCAAGAAACTTCATTTGCTTCTCTGGGGTTGTTTTCTCTCATCAGCTCCCTCTCCTCTTCCCCATCCTACACCACCCACTGTCTGGCACAGGTAGCTGCTAGCTCCCTTCCTTTGCTAAAACTCTATCTGAAAAGCTATAAAATGTATTCAGGTGAAAGGCTTGATACAAGCACCAGAAAAGTGGACAGAAAAACTACAGTTTATTAAGTCAGGTGTCTGAATTGCATCACTTTTACTGTATATCTGTGTACTCTTCTGCACAGGCCTATCACAATAGGTAGGCCAAGAGAAGGAGAGAATTAGAACTTGGCCCTTGAAGTTCTGGGGTTTTTTTTCACATGGATGTCACAGTCCTGCATGAGTTTAAGTCACCAAGTTTCTAACACATCACACTGGGCTGGGCTTCACCAAGAGGTGTTCCAGAGAGCTTTGGGGAATACTGCAGATATTGGAAGCCTGCACTTTTAACCCAATAACTGCAGCAGCAGGTTGGGCAACTCTCATCTACCACCAACACCAGCCATTCTTTACCAATTTGTACCAGTCAAAATACTTGTATATTTTATAAGCCAAACACTTGAAGAAAAATTAAACACTACTATCAAAAAGTAACTTGGGAGAGAACTTTCCTCAATAGCATGACGTAGCCTAAGCTGGGGTGGGGTACAATCACACATGGTTCATTGGGCTTAATTGCTGACAGGCAGCCAGATGGTTTGTTTACCTGACTGGAGGCACAGAAGCCTGCAGCTCTTATTGGCCAGTTCATTGCTCCCAGGCAATAGAAGCTGTGTGAAGAGTGGCCCTACCTGCACCACTTCCCACTGCTCCCGTTGGCTGCGAGCTGCAAACCGCAGCCACTAGGAGCTGTGGGGCTTTGTGCCCCAGTTACACTCAGATCAACCAACTGTTATCTCTGATGAATCACATGGGGCTGGTGTAGTGGAGGTTCCCAACTCCTGGTGTAAGCCAGTGATACTGAGGCCTCAGTGGTGCAAGAGCTAAATTCACAATTTACATTAGCCAGAAGAGCCACAGTAATGTAAATCTGTTGTTTCATTTAAACAGTATGACAAGGGAAATAAAATATTTAGTGTGTGCGCGCGCATATATATAAATTCTCACAGCAAATAAGTTAATAACTGTATATTGATAATTGGTTAACATAGAAAAGCATTGTAACTGGTTAATAAGTGAAGTTAGTTAATTAAAATCACACCATTTTTACTATTACATGCTGCAATGAGCCACAGGAGACCTGTTAGGATACATGCATACAGCAGTGTTATTTGGGAATAACTAACGTTATTCCCAAATAACAAAGAGCACAGCTACACTGCAATCCATTATTTAGAAATAGTGTCAAGCTGGAGGACTTCTTACTCTGACTCCTGTAACCCTGATTTTACGAGGAGTAAGGGAAGTGGAAGGAAGAGTGTTCTTCCTCTGACTTCCTGCTGTGTAGACAGCACCAAAAGCTGAAAATAAGCTATTTCGACTTAAGCTACGCAATTGGCGTAGCTCAAGTTGCATAGCTTAATTTGACTTTTGCCCTGCTGTGTAGAGAGCCACATGCGGCTCCTCTGCCTCAGTCTGCATCACTGCTGCAAGCAGTTAATTGCATGAGTCAATGGCCAGCTTGAATTAGTGAGGAGTTGCAGCAGAACCAGGTTCCCTTATGGTATAAGTCACAGTCAGTTTTGAAAAGATAGTGAGGAAATAGGTTGCTCCTTGTAGTGATTAGGAAGAGGATTGGGTTCTAATGATGATCTCTGGCCATTTCTTCACTGAAGACCATATTGCCACAAAGAGAAAAGGGAACATTTTATTTCCATCACTGCCATTTAACATTTCATAGTTACATGATGTCCTGTGCAATAAGGCAGCCCAAATAGGCAGTTATTTTACAAATATACTTTCTATGTACTGACTGCCATTGCACACTGCCGAATTAAAGAGTTTAAGGAAGCTTGCCCTAGAATGACTAAAAATTTTGTAGAACTTGAAAAGAACAGTATTTTCCCAGTCAGTTTCAGACCCTCTATCTTGTCATTGTGAGATCAAAGCCTGTATCCATTTAGTTTATATTATATCTTATGAAACAGATGAAGTCTCCATGTTATAAATAACTATTATGCAAGAACAGTTTAACCAAAACTCCCTTGTCTTTAAATATATGTATTTGTGAAACTTGAAATACAGCCAGAAATTAGATTAATGCAACAATAAAAAGCCTGAAGAACACAAAAACCTAAGACTATTATTTTTTACTACTGAAAAGTGTATGTGAGAGAACATAGAGGCTGTATATTTCACCAATCATTTCTGTAAACCATAAACCAAATGAGTGACTTACTTCTTACTATTTACTGATATAGCATCTTGATGCTATTAGGTGTTCTCCACAGACATGGTGGGTGAGGTAATATCTTTTATTAGACCAATGACTATTGGTGAAAACGACAGGCTGAGCCCAGGTTTCAGCCTGAATCCAAACATCTACATCACCATTAAACAGAGCTCAGCAGTGGAAGTGCAGTCCTACCCTGTGGCTACTTAAAAGTTAACAGTTTGCAGAGTGTACCAGGCAGAGCTAGAGAAGGGAAGAAAGGGACACAAGTTTAATCCTGTGCCCATTTACCACTTTTTTATTAAGTTCTTAACTCTTTTCCATTTGCACAACTAAAGTGAAACATAAAAATGCTTCTAAAAAAAAAAAAACCTCCAGGATTACCCAAATATATATTTTCATATATTCTGACTTGATATTAAATAAGACACCAGCAGTCATTATGTTGTCACTAAACCCTACTAATGAAATTTAAAGCGACATAGTGTAAAACAAACTGAATGCGTATGAAGTATAAAACATGCATAATTTACATTTCAAAGACCCAGAGCTTGGCCACAAAACTACAAAGGACCAAAATAAAAATTACTCCCAGCATTTGGCAACTGCATGTGTTCTTGCATGATTTACTATCAGTGTAATGGTAAATTAAACAAAAAAGGTAAGTACAGACTCGGAAAGAAGTGCTAACATGAAATAATCCTATGATTTAAATAATTAAGAATAACTAGAATTAATGTCCAGAATAGGACGGCCCCTTGACTTCTGATAAATATAAACTAAGCATGTACAGTGACAAACATTCATTTTCTTGCAAGATTGAACCAACATCAGCTAAAGTAGGAGGTGCTAAGGAATAGGTTATCATCTAGTACGGAGGCTTGTAGCCATAGCTGGGATGGCTGTGTTTGGGACATTGGTGATTATTTTGGAACAGACATTTGTACCAAAGTAAAGTAACACTTGTTCTAAACATACACATAGAAAATGCAAAATATATTCCAGGTCCAATTGTTGACAGAACTACATATATATTTTTATTAAAGTGTTAGTCCACAGAGTTTCCAGCTGTATATCACTCTACTAAAGGTGGGCTAATGGCAGTTCATGGATTTTTTGTCCTCAAGACATCAATAGACATGATCTGCCTATTTGTGAGAAATGCCATCATGGAGTCCATTTAGAATGACAAATTTCACGTCTAAGTTAAAAAGAATATTTAATTTTTGAACACAGAGTACACCATAATGCAAAGATACTAATCTTGCTTTGCTGCTGCATAATTGGGGCTTCTTTTTGTAGAAGAAACAACAAGAAGTCCTGTGGCACCTTACAAACGCTGACAAGGTAGGGTTTTGCCTATGAAAGCTTATGCTTACATACATCTGCTAGTCTTTAAGGTGCCAAAGGGTTCCTTGTTGTTTTTGAGGATACAGAAAAACACGTCTAATTTTCTGATACTTATCCGTAGCAGTCCATTAGATCATGTTGACCTATTCAATACTTAATGGAAAAGTCACCTCCAAAAAGGCTGAAACCCATTTCCATCAAATGCACTGATATGAACACGAGAATGGCAATACATCTAATAGGGAGGGGGAAGATAATGTGAATTTATTCAAAAATTGTAACCTACATCTTACAAAAGTTTTATACAATTTTCAAAATTTTATATATATAAAGAAACAAAAACTCTCCCATTTCTTCTTGTGCTAGTTCAATATTTGAGGCAACATCAAAGATTACAGTGCTTATGACATCTTTTATTCAATTCACATAGAAAAGCATGCAGTATTAATGTAAAACAGTACAGTATTAATGTAAAATGTTCAGTGCACATTAGGTAAACAAGTCATTAGCATACAAACCCATTTTTATGGTCTACATAGGCATACTGAACATGTTCTGGACAACAATGCTTTGTGGAAACAAAATTAAAAATTGTGCTCAACTCCCCCACCCTCCCCAAAATGCCATGTTTTCAGTGTTAAAGGAAGAGATGTTTTCTAACTGAAATGTAGAAACACTGAAATGAGAGTCTGCTACAATATATACATACTCTAACTACAGTTTCAGTATAGAATAGTGCCATGCAAATAGTCTAAGCAGCAGCAGCAGTTTCCTTTGGAAGCAAAGTTTTACAACAAGAATTTACATTGTTTTATGGCAAGTGAACAATATTACCAGTAGCAGCGTTACAAAAAGTTACCATTACCTTGTAGCATAGGAAATTAAACTTTAAAAAGCAAGTTATTTCCCATGTAAAAGGTTGGTTTAACAAGAACATTTAAAAAATCGGTCATATTCAAGAATGACATAACTGCTGCGCAAACAGAACATCACATAACCTGACAATTAAAAAAAGTAAGGAATTACAAAACAAAACAAACAGTTCTGTCAAAGAAGAAATCTCAGAATGGTTCTTCTCTAAGTGTAACAGTTTGCGGTGCTGAGAGAACATTCAGATCTCAGTTGGTCACAGGGAAACTGAATCAGGTCACATAGAACTCACCAGAAAGCAAGTTAGCTTGGGCACTTTTAAATGTTCTCATGTTGGCACACTAAGACTACTAATTTCAACAGGAGTTAGTTTTTAGTAGTTTTTGAAGGACTAGCATTAGAAAGGCTGCTTTGAATTTTTCTTTTGGTCGACTGATTGACACCCTTCTGTTTCTTGTCAGGAATAAAGGAAGAAGCCCAAGGAGACTGAAGTTGGTTGTGAAGATTATGCATCTCAGATGACGACATCTTAAAAAAGGAGGAACCAAACTTATGTTCTTCAAATAGCCTTTGTGAATTACTGAAAAGAAAATTTTGGGAAAACTCTCTTTGAAATAAACAGTTCTGAGGTTTGATTTCACTAGTTTCTGAATTTCGGCCTGAAAACAATGGGAAGTGTTCATTCATGTCTACTTCAGATGGAGAGAGGATTGAAAATGTAGCAGGTTTCCAATCTACCAATTGGTCACTTGACTCAGGGCATTTTACACAGTTTTGTTTGTTCCTTTCTTCCAGCTTCTTATCTGATTCATTCAGGAGTTCAGAACACTGTGTTGCCTTAGAAGCATTATCAAGGTCAGAGGTCTTAAAGTTGTAGTAGGGACTCTTGCTATTGTCAGATTCGGACATCATGGAGTCCAACTCAGAAATTTTATCAAGGTAAGCAGCATCCATGGATGCTTCACTAGATGTTCTCGTGCGGTTCATTTCTGAAGAGCGGATAGTATGTAATCTTTTAGATAAAAGAAGTTCATGCTTATCGCTGGACTTTGCCGATGGCTCGCCTGAATGACTAGTGATTGCATTTTGCTCTGAACCTTCAAAATCTAAGTTATCAGCATAGTTTGTTGAGCAGCTATTCCAAAACACTGGCTTTGCCGAAGTAAAACAAGTCAACTTCTTCTGGCTGTTGCAGGAGCTTGTATTATGTTCTGGAGAATCTTTGTTGCAATCATCTGAAGTGTCACAAAAATCATCAAATTCCAGTTTCCTTAGAAAGGCAGAAGGCTTCCCTGTATTCTCTTGTTTTGTGAGAGGACTGTCTTTGATATCAGGGGTGTTCAATTGGAGACAACTCAGTGACAAAGAAGGTGTACACGGTGCTGGAAGCTCATAAAGTTCTTCATCTTTATATGGTGCACAATCCTCAGCTTTATCCCACTGTTGTTCTAAGCAGGCATCCATATTTGTAGCAGCTATATCCAGGAGAACTTCCTGACACCCTGAAAATAGTTCTTTGTTTGTCGGACAACAGTGTGTGTCTGGCTCATTTGAACTGTCTTGACTAGCAGAATTTGAGCAAGCGCCATCACCATTTAAGAGTCCATTACTTGTCAGTTGCTCAAGACTGTTGGGACTTTGGCTGGTAGTTGGAGTCTTTTTCTCTAGTCTTTCTTCTTGGGTTTCTAATGATGAAACATCTTCTTCACTGCTTTCGCTTCCTTTATTATCTGTGAAAAGTGCTCTCTCACTAACAGTACTCACATTTTGGGTTTCTCCACTCGATCCTTTCATCTGCGTAATCTGACATTCCAGTTCTTCTATGTATGTGTCACTTCTTTCCAGTGCTTTTTTCAGACGGTTCGTTTCACGTTCACACTGTTCTACTTTGGACTGAAGCGCAGCTACTGTAAACCTACCAAACCTGCAAGAAATATGGAGAGAGAAAATATTAAGTTGAAAGAATTTTATTTGTTTCACCTTTTTCAAATCATTCTCAAATAAGTTTTCTAAACCAGTTTCAAAAAGAGACAACGCTTTGAACACACATCATGTTAATTCAAAAGTAAAAATATAGCCCTATGCAGGATTGCAGTTATAGACTAGTAATGAAAAAAATTATATTGCATAGGTGGAGGTGAATGCATGAAACAAATCTACCACTCAAAGTTACAGTAAAGCAATAACAAGCAGAAGATTACCCTTCCAGGGGCTGGATCTATCAATTGAACTCAAATATGCATGAAGAATTATCCCCTAAAACAATGGCAAAGATTTATGGGAACATTTGAACGGTGGTCCACATCTTGAAATATTTACATTCAATCATTTTTCTACAGTACAGCAGTGTTTTACAATACATTTCTTACACAATGTCACCTTGTCAAATATAAAAATGCCAATATGAAATTCAGAAATTGTAACAATCCTTAGAGGTGGCTTTAAATACCCATTTGAACCATTTCAAATTACATTGCTTTTAGATGTACAGTTTCTCCTTGGGCTTCCCATGTACTTTAACTTAGTGCTACTTGGTTTTATCATTGTAATGGCAATCTTACATATTCTAATCCACAAAATAATTAAAATGGCATTTGTGATTGCAAGAATTGCACATAATGTGTTTGCAGGATTTCTAGCTAGAGCATATTTTCATTTGCAAAGGTCCAGAAGAAACAGTGTTGTCCCCATGCACCCTCCCAGACTTGAAACCATCACCTACGCTCTGGGGAAGATCATCTATATGCCTTACCCAAATTTAACCTGCCTGTGATAGTTAAGCATGAGGGAATCTCCTGCTCCATACAAGATTTTCAATTTACAAAACAAAAACAAGTTAAAATCCTGATATTATGAGGAGAGAAAAACCTTCAGCCACTTAAAAAAAAAATCACATTTATTTATATCAGGCTACTTGCTTTTCTTCCTATGTAAGAGGGAAAGTAAATCAGTGCTTGTGCAAACAGACAATTACAAGGCACAGAGACTCGCCATATAAGGTTCTCTTTGGCGCCACAAAGAACTTCTTTCCCATCTCCACAACGTTCATTTCCCAGCCCTACTCATCACAGCTCTCAAGCCCATGAGGTCTGAATACAGGTGCATATCTTGCCTGTGAATATCATCCCTGAAACTGCCAGAGGCATTGCTACAGAGGAACAAGTGTGTTGCCAGCAAAGGGCTGAGTCAGATTTTGATTTTTGAATTATGATCCCTGAACAATAGCTGACTGATTTTCCAGAGGTGGAATACACTAACAATTACAATGGAAGCCAATGGAAGATCAGGGTGCCTAGAACCATGAAGAAGTTGGAGACAGCATTAACTTCAATGGTGCTACAAGAGGGAAGAAACAGTGGTTTTCCCACCCATGGCATTGGCTTACAAATCTCATCATTTACAGCTCAAAATGACAAAACCGTACAAGTCAAGATTCCATATTTAGGTATGCATTGCTTTGTAAATAAGGAATAATTTCAACCTAAAATAAACACAATATCTGATTTTTTAAAATTTTATCTGTAGTCACTTTCACCATTTTCCACAGTATAATTAGTCAGTTCCTCCCCAGGATGTGCGTTTTTCATATATAGCAGTATGGGAGGGAAAATGTTTTTTAAAAGAAATAACACAGATTGTAAGTCTATTATGATGGCAAGGGACTCAGATAGGTGGAGTACTGCATGCCACTTTTCATTCACTTTTTAAACAGACTAGATTTAAAGTTCACTATGTTCCATTAAATACTTATGTTGACATTTGTAGGACAGATCTTGTTTTCTCCCTTAATTTTAAGCTCAACAGCAATAAATCAAATATGCTATTTAAAAGTAGCCATTCTTCTACAAAATAATTTCACTAATCAATTACTGAGTTATGCTGTGGAACTGGAATTCATCTACAGATTTGACACCATTACCCTGGGCTTGAACAAAGATATTAACTGGCTGGCAAATTACAAAGCCAATTTCTCTCACCATTAACATCTGCATTTCCACATCAAAAGCTATGTACGGGACACATCTAGCCCACTTAATTAGCCTAATTAACACGGGTCTTATAATAGACAGTCTTACAAATCAGTTCAGCCATCAGATCCCTGAAAAATGGCAAAGCTCCAGAACCTGACAACCTGGATGAGGAGTTGTTTAAAGCAGACCCAGAACTTGCAGCCATCATTCTCCAACCACTGTTTGTAGCAATTTGGGAAGGACAACAGATACCCAAGGACTGGACCAAAGGAGTCATCATCAAGATCCCTAAGAAAGGAGCACTCAGCGACTGCAACAATTGGCGCGGGATCACCCTTCTCTTCATACCCAGCAAGATCCTAGCCAAGGTCATCATCCAGCGGATCTCAGATGCTGTCGATAAGTCTCTGAGGAAAGAACAAGCTGAATTTCACAAGGGAAGAGGATGTATAGACCAGATTTTCACCCTGAGAAACATCATAGAGCAGTGCACAGAGTGACAAAGACAGTTGTACATAAACTTTGTTGACTCTGAGAAGGTTTTTGACAGCATACACAGAGAAAGCCTTTGGCACATTCTGAGAGACTACAGAATCCCTCTACAAGTGGTCCAGCTCGTTAAGAGTTTTTACACCAACTTCACAGGTAGAGTGGTATATTTGGTATATTGCGATCTGTCTTTTGAAGTGAAGACTGGGGTCAGACAGGGATGTGTCATGTCTGCACTACTCTTCAACATGGTGATTGACTGGGTGATGCAGAGAACAGCAGCAGATGCATCAAGGGGTATCAGATGGACACCTTTTTTCCACATTGGAAGACCCTGACTTAGCGGACGACCTTGAGTTGCTTTCCCATACCCATCAACATATGCAGGAAAAGACAATGCCTATGCACGTTTGGATGCCAGGTGGGACTAAGAATTGGCTAGAAGAAAACAGAGATTATGATTCTCAAGATAGATGATGCAGACTTACCCAGCACAGACAGCTTAATGTACTTAGGCAGCATCATCCACCATAACGGAGGAACCAAGAATGACATCCAGAGCAGGCTAAGTAAGGCCAGAAATGTCCTCTGGGGTCTGAACAATGTATGGAGATCTACACAGTACAGTGTTCACTTCAAGCTTAAGCTGTACCAGAGCTGTGTCATATTAACACTACTATACGGCTCAGCGTGCTGGCGGATGACAGAGTGAAACCATGCCAAGCTCTCATCCTTTCACACAACCAGCCTTCATAAGATACTTCACATCTTTTGGCCGAAAACAATTTCCAACCACGACCTGCTCCTGGGATGCCACCAGGAGGACATGACCACTATCATTATGAGAAGACACTGGAGATGGATAGGGCACGTGATGAGAAGGGAGGCAGACGCCATTGTAAAGGCAGCACTTCACTGGACGCCCGAAGGACGATGGAAACGTGGGAGGCCCAAGACAACATAGCGGTGTACTGTTGAGGCAGATATGAAGAGAATGAACTACAACTGGGACACACTGGAGAAAATGGCCGAAGAAAACAAAAGTGGAGAACCTTCGTTGCTGCCCTACACACCAGCAGGCGTAATAGGCATTAACTTAACTTACAATAGATAGATACTTCTTCTGCTATATCTATATCCATATCTATCCTGGTTTTTGTTATTTCCACTGCAATTCATCTGATGAAATGGGTTTTACCCACAAAAGCTCATGATTCTAAATATTTTAGTTAGTCTCTAAGGTGCCACAGGACTATTTGTTTCAAATATGCTATAGTAAGTTATCTGAACATTGTACGATCAACAAAGATTTTCTCCTGATTCCCAGGCCAGAGGCACTCTGCTGAATTTATTTTTACCTCCTCTGAAGACTTTGGTATAGGCCAGTGTATAAAGTAGAACAGTGTCTTATCGGATATGGCAAACACCACACACACACACACACACACACACACACACACACACAAACACACACCCATGTTGGCACACTAAGACTACTAATTTCAACAGGAGTTAGTTTTTAGTAGTTTTTGAAGGACTAGCATTAGAAAGGCTGCTTTGAATTTTTCTTTTGGTCGACTGATTGACACCCTTCTGTTTCTTGTCAGGAATAAAGGAAGAAGCCCAAGGAGACTGAAGTTGGTTGTGAAGATTATGCATCTCAGATGACGACATCTTAAAAAAGGAGGAACCAAACTTATGTTCTTCAAATAGCCTTTGTGAATTACTGAAAAGAAAATTTTGGGAAAACTCTCTTTGAAATAAACAGTTCTGAGGTTTGATTTCACTAGTTTCTGAATTTCGGCCTGAAAACAATGGGAAGTGTTCATTCATGTCTACTTCAGATGGAGAGAGGATTGAAAATGTAGCAGGTTTCCAATCTACCAATTGGTCACTTGACTCAGGGCATTTTACACAGTTTTGTTTGTTCCTTTCTTCCAGCTTCTTATCTGATTCATTCAGGAGTTCAGAACACTGTGTTGCCTTAGAAGCATTATCAAGGTCAGAGGTCTTAAAGTTGTAGTAGGGACTCTTGCTATTGTCAGATTCGGACATCATGGAGTCCAACTCAGAAATTTTATCAAGGTAAGCAGCATCCATGGATGCTTCACTAGATGTTCTCGTGCGGTTCATTTCTGAAGAGCGGATAGTATGTAATCTTTTAGATAAAAGAAGTTCATGCTTATCGCTGGACTTTGCCGATGGCTCGCCTGAATGACTAGTGATTGCATTTTGCTCTGAACCTTCAAAATCTAAGTTATCAGCATAGTTTGTTGAGCAGCTATTCCAAAACACTGGCTTTGCCGAAGTAAAACAAGTCAACTTCTTCTGGCTGTTGCAGGAGCTTGTATTATGTTCTGGAGAATCTTTGTTGCAATCATCTGAAGTGTCACAAAAATCATCAAATTCCAGTTTCCTTAGAAAGGCAGAAGGCTTCCCTGTATTCTCTTGTTTTGTGAGAGGACTGTCTTTGATATCAGGGGTGTTCAATTGGAGACAACTCAGTGACAAAGAAGGTGTACACGGTGCTGGAAGCTCATAAAGTTCTTCATCTTTATATGGTGCACAATCCTCAGCTTTATCCCACTGTTGTTCTAAGCAGGCATCCATATTTGTAGCAGCTATATCCAGGAGAACTTCCTGACACCCTGAAAATAGTTCTTTGTTTGTCGGACAACAGTGTGTGTCTGGCTCATTTGAACTGTCTTGACTAGCAGAATTTGAGCAAGCGCCATCACCATTTAAGAGTCCATTACTTGTCAGTTGCTCAAGACTGTTGGGACTTTGGCTGGTAGTTGGAGTCTTTTTCTCTAGTCTTTCTTCTTGGGTTTCTAATGATGAAACATCTTCTTCACTGCTTTCGCTTCCTTTATTATCTGTGAAAAGTGCTCTCTCACTAACAGTACTCACATTTTGGGTTTCTCCACTCGATCCTTTCATCTGCGTAATCTGACATTCCAGTTCTTCTATGTATGTGTCACTTCTTTCCAGTGCTTTTTTCAGACGGTTCGTTTCACGTTCACACTGTTCTACTTTGGACTGAAGCGCAGCTACTGTAAACCTACCAAACCTGCAAGAAATATGGAGAGAGAAAATATTAAGTTGAAAGAATTTTATTTGTTTCACCTTTTTCAAATCATTCTCAAATAAGTTTTCTAAACCAGTTTCAAAAAGAGACAACGCTTTGAACACACATCATGTTAATTCAAAAGTAAAAATATAGCCCTATGCAGGATTGCAGTTATAGACTAGTAATGAAAAAAATTATATTGCATAGGTGGAGGTGAATGCATGAAACAAATCTACCACTCAAAGTTACAGTAAAGCAATAACAAGCAGAAGATTACCCTTCCAGGGGCTGGATCTATCAATTGAACTCAAATATGCATGAAGAATTATCCCCTAAAACAATGGCAAAGATTTATGGGAACATTTGAACGGTGGTCCACATCTTGAAATATTTACATTCAATCATTTTTCTACAGTACAGCAGTGTTTTACAATACATTTCTTACACAATGTCACCTTGTCAAATATAAAAATGCCAATATGAAATTCAGAAATTGTAACAATCCTTAGAGGTGGCTTTAAATACCCATTTGAACCATTTCAAATTACATTGCTTTTAGATGTACAGTTTCTCCTTGGGCTTCCCATGTACTTTAACTTAGTGCTACTTGGTTTTATCATTGTAATGGCAATCTTACATATTCTAATCCACAAAATAATTAAAATGGCATTTGTGATTGCAAGAATTGCACATAATGTGTTTGCAGGATTTCTAGCTAGAGCATATTTTCATTTGCAAAGGTCCAGAAGAAACAGTGTTGTCCCCATGCACCCTCCCAGACTTGAAACCATCACCTACGCTCTGGGGAAGATCATCTATATGCCTTACCCAAATTTAACCTGCCTGTGATAGTTAAGCATGAGGGAATCTCCTGCTCCATACAAGATTTTCAATTTACAAAACAAAAACAAGTTAAAATCCTGATATTATGAGGAGAGAAAAACCTTCAGCCACTTAAAAAAAAAATCACATTTATTTATATCAGGCTACTTGCTTTTCTTCCTATGTAAGAGGGAAAGTAAATCAGTGCTTGTGCAAACAGACAATTACAAGGCACAGAGACTCGCCATATAAGGTTCTCTTTGGCGCCACAAAGAACTTCTTTCCCATCTCCACAACGTTCATTTCCCAGCCCTACTCATCACAGCTCTCAAGCCCATGAGGTCTGAATACAGGTGCATATCTTGCCTGTGAATATCATCCCTGAAACTGCCAGAGGCATTGCTACAGAGGAACAAGTGTGTTGCCAGCAAAGGGCTGAGTCAGATTTTGATTTTTGAATTATGATCCCTGAACAATAGCTGACTGATTTTCCAGAGGTGGAATACACTAACAATTACAATGGAAGCCAATGGAAGATCAGGGTGCCTAGAACCATGAAGAAGTTGGAGACAGCATTAACTTCAATGGTGCTACAAGAGGGAAGAAACAGTGGTTTTCCCACCCATGGCATTGGCTTACAAATCTCATCATTTACAGCTCAAAATGACAAAACCGTACAAGTCAAGATTCCATATTTAGGTATGCATTGCTTTGTAAATAAGGAATAATTTCAACCTAAAATAAACACAATATCTGATTTTTTAAAATTTTATCTGTAGTCACTTTCACCATTTTCCACAGTATAATTAGTCAGTTCCTCCCCAGGATGTGCGTTTTTCATATATAGCAGTATGGGAGGGAAAATGTTTTTTAAAAGAAATAACACAGATTGTAAGTCTATTATGATGGCAAGGGACTCAGATAGGTGGAGTACTGCATGCCACTTTTCATTCACTTTTTAAACAGACTAGATTTAAAGTTCACTATGTTCCATTAAATACTTATGTTGACATTTGTAGGACAGATCTTGTTTTCTCCCTTAATTTTAAGCTCAACAGCAATAAATCAAATATGCTATTTAAAAGTAGCCATTCTTCTACAAAATAATTTCACTAATCAATTACTGAGTTATGCTGTGGAACTGGAATTCATCTACAGATTTGACACCATTACCCTGGGCTTGAACAAAGATATTAACTGGCTGGCAAATTACAAAGCCAATTTCTCTCACCATTAACATCTGCATTTCCACATCAAAAGCTATGTACGGGACACATCTAGCCCACTTAATTAGCCTAATTAACACGGGTCTTATAATAGACAGTCTTACAAATCAGTTCAGCCATCAGATCCCTGAAAAATGGCAAAGCTCCAGAACCTGACAACCTGGATGAGGAGTTGTTTAAAGCAGACCCAGAACTTGCAGCCATCATTCTCCAACCACTGTTTGTAGCAATTTGGGAAGGACAACAGATACCCAAGGACTGGACCAAAGGAGTCATCATCAAGATCCCTAAGAAAGGAGCACTCAGCGACTGCAACAATTGGCGCGGGATCACCCTTCTCTTCATACCCAGCAAGATCCTAGCCAAGGTCATCATCCAGCGGATCTCAGATGCTGTCGATAAGTCTCTGAGGAAAGAACAAGCTGAATTTCACAAGGGAAGAGGATGTATAGACCAGATTTTCACCCTGAGAAACATCATAGAGCAGTGCACAGAGTGACAAAGACAGTTGTACATAAACTTTGTTGACTCTGAGAAGGTTTTTGACAGCATACACAGAGAAAGCCTTTGGCACATTCTGAGAGACTACAGAATCCCTCTACAAGTGGTCCAGCTCGTTAAGAGTTTTTACACCAACTTCACAGGTAGAGTGGTATATTTGGTATATTGCGATCTGTCTTTTGAAGTGAAGACTGGGGTCAGACAGGGATGTGTCATGTCTGCACTACTCTTCAACATGGTGATTGACTGGGTGATGCAGAGAACAGCAGCAGATGCATCAAGGGGTATCAGATGGACACCTTTTTTCCACATTGGAAGACCCTGACTTAGCGGACGACCTTGAGTTGCTTTCCCATACCCATCAACATATGCAGGAAAAGACAATGCCTATGCACGTTTGGATGCCAGGTGGGACTAAGAATTGGCTAGAAGAAAACAGAGATTATGATTCTCAAGATAGATGATGCAGACTTACCCAGCACAGACAGCTTAATGTACTTAGGCAGCATCATCCACCATAACGGAGGAACCAAGAATGACATCCAGAGCAGGCTAAGTAAGGCCAGAAATGTCCTCTGGGGTCTGAACAATGTATGGAGATCTACACAGTACAGTGTTCACTTCAAGCTTAAGCTGTACCAGAGCTGTGTCATATTAACACTACTATACGGCTCAGCGTGCTGGCGGATGACAGAGTGAAACCATGCCAAGCTCTCATCCTTTCACACAACCAGCCTTCATAAGATACTTCACATCTTTTGGCCGAAAACAATTTCCAACCACGACCTGCTCCTGGGATGCCACCAGGAGGACATGACCACTATCATTATGAGAAGACACTGGAGATGGATAGGGCACGTGATGAGAAGGGAGGCAGACGCCATTGTAAAGGCAGCACTTCACTGGACGCCCGAAGGACGATGGAAACGTGGGAGGCCCAAGACAACATAGCGGTGTACTGTTGAGGCAGATATGAAGAGAATGAACTACAACTGGGACACACTGGAGAAAATGGCCGAAGAAAACAAAAGTGGAGAACCTTCGTTGCTGCCCTACACGTCTTCTTGGCAGCCAGTGGCATTGGTTCTCACAGAATTTCAAATATGCTATAGTAAGTTATCTGAACATTGTACGATCAACAAAGATTTTCTCCTGATTCCCAGGCCAGAGGCACTCTGCTGAATTTATTTTTACCTCCTCTGAAGACTTTGGTATAGGCCAGTGTATAAAGTAGAACAGTGTCTTATCGGATATGGCAAACACCACACACACACACACACACACACACACACACACACACACACAAACCACACACACCACACACAACACCCACACAGAAATCATGATTAGCTTAAAAGCTAAGTGTAATCACCAGAGAGAAATTAAAATGCTTATGCAGTGTAAGCAAAATTTTCCAGAGACTGTTGTAACAGACACTTTAACATAAAAATTAAGCATGTTTTATATGCATACCTGGCATTTTTTTAATGGAAGAACTATGTAATATGTTTATTTAATGTAAATAGCATTAGTGACAACTTCAGATTTGCTTAGCAAGAGGAAGCATTGTATTCTCAAGTGCAAGTTTTAGAACTGTCCTCAAGAAAAAAAAAAAAAAAGAAAAAAAAAGAAGTGTGTCATTCAAAACTAAGCAGCATTGCCAATATGTTAATTGTTGCAGGGAGATGCATCTGGGAATTTGTGGTTTTAGAAAATGGAGCATCATACAGACTACTTCCAAATAGTTACATCTGCAATGAAGCAAAGTAGCAGAGCAATTTTCCATCCCTTCTTTGAGACTTAAGTTCAATTAAAATCCAAATTTTCAAGGCTTCCATACTATTTTATCTTCTCCAGCTAACCATAGGAGTTCAAATGTTTAAGTAAATTCCACCATGGATTCTATATGGTTCTAGTGACTGTCCACTCATTGGCCAATCTTAAGAAGGAAGCTATGATATGAAGATAAAAACAAAAACAGTCTGTTTGACATCCGAGTCAGCATGCCAAGTGTATAGATAGGACCAGTGCTTTTTTTGTGACAATGGTACACATACTGGTGTGTGGTCACCTTTTTTTTTTTGGGAGCACTCGCCACTTTCCTCTGGCACAGCCCCCAGCCGGCTCTGGGAGCACTTGTGCCATGGCGGACGGAAGCCCGCTCAGGACACACAGCAATTAAAGGGGCCACGACACCATTTCAGCCCTGATTTCCCAGGCACTTTTTTTTTTTTTTGCTCAACAAAACCATCTGGCAACTCTAGTACCAGATTTTTTTTTGTAAAAGGCTGTATGTAGTTTATTCCTAAATCTCTTCCTTTAACCTCCAACAATCACAGAAGACTGACAGCCTAATGAGGCCCATGTGCATGGCCCCACACAACAGAAATACATAGTCACTCTGTCTCCCAAGTCCTCTCCTCAGTCACGTTTTATCCATAAAAACATTTC